TTATGATTTCTAGAGTTATTGAGATTCATCCCCATGGCTCCTCATTAGACAAATCATACCATTGTCTTTCCATTCCTGGAGCATCTCAATTCCCCGTGGGACAACAGAGAACCCTGGCAGAAATGTTCCTAATGATGAGACCTATACAACAATGGAATTGGCTGTCTTATGGGGCAGTAGGCTACCCAACACTGGTGATCTTCTAGAAAATATTAGGGGACTGATTATGTTGATTATTGTAGAGAGTGTTAATGATTTGAAAAGGGTTTAAAGTAGATGAATACTAAGGTCCCTTCTGGTTCTAGCTACCTATGAATCTATAAATTGACTTCACTGTAAATTAATGAAACACTCTTTACTGTAAATGCCTTAAAAGAATGAATGAGCATGTGACAAGATTAGTATCAGTGGATTCCTTCCTCATGATGGTGGTTGATAGCTGAAATCCCTTCCAATAAATCATTAAATGGGATAACTCATTAGAGACATTGAATTTTTCACTACTTATATCTTTACGCTTAAGGTCAATGAATATTCCTTATAGTAGAAAGATACCTGCATTTGGAGTCAGAGGACCTGGGTTATTATCCTTGTTCTGCTACTTACTGATCTTGAACAATTAACTTATATGTTCTGGACCTCATTTCCTTGTCTCCAAAATTAGATGGATAGCCTCTTTTATTTACCTTCCTAGCTTTAAGTGCTATAATTTGTGAAGAGATTCCTACTTAGGTACTAGTTGGATGAGATTTCTTTTGAGGTCCTTTCTTGTTCTTTAGTCTGTGAAAGCAGTCTGTTCTGCCAATTATCTGCCTGATTATATTATTGATACTACATCCCCTACTCATTGAGTTCTTTAGATCAGAGCAGACTTTCCTATTTATTCTTCTCAGGTCTTAGTAGTAAGGGCCCTTTCTTCTAATAGAATGAAGTTCTGTTGTTATCTGAACTTCAGTTCCCTACCTAGTCAAAATACTAGACAACAAAAGGAAACCAGTCCCCCCTAATTTCCAAAGGTCCTATAGCTACAGATACAGAAATATTCTCTAACCTTATATCTGAATGGGGTAAACATGGAGATAGGGATCTGGTTCTTCTCAATGCAAGGAGCCAGAGAGAAGCAGTGAGCTGGGCTCATGAGCCTTGTTTCATTAATATAGTCAATCATATGATATTTATTAAACACCTACTATATCCTAGGCACTGTGCTGATATACAAAGACAATTTGTATCAGTTCTAGCTCTTAAGGAGCTTCTGTTACCAGGGAATATGTATGTATCTGAGAATATCTACAATAATTTCAAGGTAGTTTAGAGAGAGAGTGCAGTAGAAGTAGAGAGGGCAGTCAAGAAGTTGGGGAGAATCAGGAAAGGCTTTATTCAGAAAGTGGTGCATGAGCTCATATTTCTAGAAGTAAGGCATTCTGTGAGTTGGGGGCAAGGAGGGAGTGCATTCCAGGCATGAGGAAGTGCTATATCTGAGGAACAACAAGAAAGCCAGTTTGGCTACAACATCCCATTGGGATTGGAGTAATGTATAATTAGACTAAAAAGATAATTTAGGGTCCAAGGACTTGAGGGATTTAAAATCTAAATGTAGGAGCTTAAATTTTATCTTAGAATCAAGAGGGAACCAGTGGAGTTTAGTGATTGTGAGGGTGATGTGGTCAGATCTATAACTAAGAAAAAAATCACTTTAACAGCTAGGTATAGGGTGGATTGGAGGAGTAAGAAACTTGAGACAAGGATATATGTTAGGAGGCCAACGGTGAGAGATGATACAGTTGGAAATAAGGTGGTGGTTACATAAGGAGTAAGAAAGGAATGGATGCAAGAGATGTTGTGGAGGTAGAATTGGCCAGATCTGGCAAACAAGTGACTATCTAGGAGGAGGAGAGTGAGGGGTGTAGGATGGTGCTGTGGTTGTGAATCTCTGAAGCTGTAGGAATGGTGATGTTTTCAATAAAAATAGGTAAATTCAGAAAAATGATGGGTTTAGAGAGAAAGATGGCCTAATAAATTCTATTTTGGATATGTTGAGTTTATTATATCTATGAGACTTCCAGTTTGAAGTGTCCAAAAGACAGGTGGAAGATGTGGGTCTGCAGCTCAGGAGAAAGAACAGAACTGGAGTCATTCGCATGGAAATGATAATTGGCACTTTAAAGCATAATGTAGTTTTCTTGTTCATCTCTCTTGTCTTTGTCAGTTTTTATTGTTGTTTTATCTGAGATCATGGCTGTGACTCTTGTTTTATTTAGTCACTTGATATATAATAGTTTTATTAAATCTCTTCATTTTTACTTGGTTTGTGTCTTTATGCTTTAAATACATTTCATTTATGCAGCAAATTACTGTGTTTTGTTTCCTTACCCATTCCTCTAGTAATTTTCCTTTTATTATGAAATTTAATCAGTTCATATTTAGGGTTATAATGGTTGTTTGTGTTTTCTCCCAACAACTAAATAACAACAACAGCAACAACTATAATAATTACCATTTATACAATGTTTTATTGTTTGCAAGAGTCTTTGCATATATTATCTCATTTGATCCTCACAATAACCTTTTATTCATATGCCACAATTATTCCCATTTTATAGAAGAGGAAATTGAGGCTGAAAGAAGTTAAGTGATTTGCACAGGATCACACAGCAAGTGTCTGAGGCTGGATTTAAACTCAGGTCTTTCTAAATCCAAATCTAAGGCTCTGGCCACTATGCAAGTAAGCTAATTATAAAAATTGAAATGGATAAGTGATAAGGAAAAAGACAAAGAATAGGATCACACACACACATCCAGAAAGATTATGGATCACTATTCACTGAACCCTTCTGATTCCATTGAGAGTTTGTGTTTATTTCAACTTCAACAAAGCATTTGACAGTCTCTCAGACTAACGTAAGGGTGTTTGATAAAGGGAGTCCCCTGATCAACATGATGAATTACAAGGCAATAAATCTTTATTGGAATTTGATGAACATATTCCCAAAATCTCAGTAGCTGATGCTTCCACAAAGTTACATTTATCATCTTTGATTTGGAATGTATTCTTATCAGAAGATATCCTTAGAGTTTGTTTTGCTTGGGGTTAATCCCTCTCTTAATTCACCCTTCCTCTAATTCCCCCTATACCTGTTTCCCTCCTTTTTCCTGGTGAGTAAAATGTTTTTCTGTATCCAACACTGTGTGTCTGTATGTATTCTTCCCTCCTTTGTCTAATTCAAATGAGAGTGAGTTCAAGTGTCAACTCTACCCCCTTCTCTGTTTGTCCATATCCCTTGGAAGCAAGATTTTCATCCTTTGCAATTCTTGCTAACAATTCTTGTAGACAGCATTCATAGAGAACATATCAAGGAGAGATGCCCATAAATAGTGGTCTGGACTATTTTATGAGTTAGTGAGTTCCTTGTCATTGGAAGAGGACAAATAGGATTTAAAGCTAATAGAATGCTTGGAGATCATGTAGTAAAACTCTCTGGTTTTACAAATGAGGAAACTGGAGCTAAGAAAGGTTAAGGCACTTGGCCAAGACCACTAAGTAGTAAAGAGTAGAGTCCAGATTTAAAACAAATCTTGTTCAAAGACATATGCCTACCATGGCTACATAGTTAGAAGTTTATATATTATAAAAAGGACACTTTCATCTATAGGAAGCTGATCTAGAGGACCACTAATGTCTAAGAACTAAGATTCTATGGCTTCATGATTCTAAAGAGGAAAGGGGGCAAGTAACAACAATGATGATAGTAATATAATGATAGTAATATATATGTATGTATAATGATATATATGTAGATATATATAATGATAGTAATATAATGATGGTAGATTATATAATGGTTTAAAGTTTGCAAAGCACTTTACAAATATCTCATTAGACCCTCACATCAACTCTGACGTAGGTGCTTTTAGCCCCACAATAATAAATGAGATAATGAATGTAAAGTGCTTTGCAAACCTTAAAGCACTCTACAAATACTAGCTCTTTATTATTATTGTTATTATCATAATTATCATTATTACTTTATAAGTGAATAAGCAGAGGCTGTGAGACATAAAATGACTTGCTTAGCATCCCATAGCTAGTAAGGGCCTGAAAGATGATATGAATCCGTATCTTCCTGATGGTAAGCCCACTATTCAATCCACCAGCAATGCTACCTCCCAGCAAAATGTCATGCTTATGTTTATGAAAATAGTCTCCTTCAGTGCCTCATCATGTCAGATGACTACACTAGATTCTTGAAGGCTTTGCTAGCAAAACACAATCTCTGCTAGGTTTTAACCACACTGGAGGGGCTTTGAGAATAGGTGCATGGATAGATGACATGGCTATTGTCCAAGAAGCAGCTTAGTTAAAAACAAAAGGAATCAGGTACCAGTGAATGATTTTTTATGCTCAAAATAATACATGAAGACCATATATTAAGGATATAGAGAAGTGGACATCTGATGTGGTAGAGGAACCATGCACAACAAGATCCCAACCGTCTCTTCTCTATTCCTCTTTTTTCTTTCTTCAATTGTATACCACTTTATAGTGTATAGTATGCTTTTCCATACATTATTTCATTTGATCCATAGACCAGAACTTGCCTTATGGACAGGACAGTTCCCATAATCCCCATTAAACAAGTGAAAAAAAATTGAGACTCAGAGGCATTAAGTGACTTGCTCAAGGGACATAGATTATGACCCAGAAGTTAAAACTAATGTTTATTAATTCTACATCTAATGCTTATTTAGAAAAAGCAGAAGTTATAACAAAGCACATTGTGGAAAATAAGATGGCAACATTATAGCAAATCCATAAATCAATGCCAGGAAGGAGAACAGTCTGAGTGACAGTAAAAGAGATCATACAGCTAGGAAAACATCACCCTAAACTATAATCTTTGGACTATCTTGACCTTCCCAGTTTGGACTCAAGGTTTCTGCTTCTCAGACTTTTGACCTTAAATATCAATGCCACATTCCAGGTCCAGGGCCAGACCCCATCAATGAGAGGGCGGCCTTTTGCTAATAATTCTCCTCATGGCATCTTTTATATCTTTATTCCTCATGCTGTAGATGAAAGGGTTCAGCATGGGGGTGACCACGGAATACATCACTGAGGAGTGGGTAGCTGAGGAACTCAGATATACTCCAAGTCCAGTGCCATAGAATAATGTAACAACAGAGAGGTGAGACCCACAGGTAGAAAAGGCTTTATATTTCCCCCTAGGAGATAGAACTCACAATAAGGAGGAACATATCTGACTATAAGAGAAAAAGATCCCTGTGAGGGGGAGAATACTGAGCAGACCAGTTGCAAAATACGCTAAGATGTCATTGGTAAGGGTATCAGAACAAGAGAGCTTTGTAACTTAACTGATATCACAGAAAAAATGAGGAAGTTCATGTTCGGCACAGAAGAACAGCCATGCCACCAGTAAAGTGTGGAGAGTGGAGTTTAGAAGACTAATAGTCCATGAGATCAGAACCAGGAGGCCACAAATCCGTGGATTCATTATGGCGACATAGTGCAGAGGGTGACAGATGGCCACAAAGTGGTCATAGGCCATCACAGTGAGGAGAAAATTGTTTAAAAAACCAAAAACCATGAAGAAGTACATTTGGGCAAGGCATCCAGCATAGGAGATAACTTTACTGTGTGTTAGGATATTCAGCAGCATCTTGGGGACTGTAGTGGATACCATACAAAGATCAACAAAGGACAGATTAGAGAGGAAGAAATACATTGGTGTGTAGAGGTGGGAGTCAGAGCCAATGGCCAGCATGATCATAAGGTTCCCAACCACAGTGACCATATATATGCCCAGGAAGAGCCCAAATAGGGGCAGCTGCTGCTCTGGCTTCTCAGAAAGTCTCAGGAGGAGGAATTCTGATACACATGTTTGATTTCCTGCTCCCATGCATCTGGTGTATCTACAAAGAAAATGGTAATGGTAAGAACCTAAAATGGAAATGCAGGCTCTTCACACTTTTGTAACAGAAAGGAAACTAGATTTGGACTCAGAACACTCAAGTTTAAATTCCAGATCTGCCACTTAGTGTGTGTGTGATATTAGACAATTCACCTACACTTTATTAGACTCAATTTCCTCATGTGTAAAATAAAGTTGGATTAAGTGGTCTTAGTTTCTTTTCAGGGCTCACATCCCAGGAAACTCCACTAACCATACTTAGAACTTAAGAAATTATGAATGAAATGAAAAATCTCTTCTGAATAACAATATTCACTGAAGTTAAAAATGTTCTGCGAATTAAACATTAAACACAGAACAATAAAAAAAATGGAAGAACATGGAACAGAGAATTAACTTCAGTTTGGAAGAGGAAATAATTTTTTTTTCAATTCAACAAATAGTAGGAATGAATTGGGACCAAAAACGTGTGCCTGCTTATATGAAGTTAAAATATCTATAAAATAAAAACAATGAATTAAAAGAAAAAAGAAAAAATTAATTGGCAAAAGTATCTATAGTAGCTGTAACAGGAAAAAAAAGACATTTAAAATATATAAGGAATTGAGTTTTTAAAATCACAGAGGTAATTTAATCAACAATGGCTAAATGGTCAAAAGCTATGAACAATTTTCAAAAGAAGGATGCAAATTCTAAGCATTGAAATAATGCTCAATTTTTCTAAAAATAAAAAAGATATTTAAAGATGTAACACTCATGAAATTGGGTGAAAATAATCAAAAGAAACAAAACCTAACACTCATTTAGGGGCGAATACTACACTCATTCATTGCAGATGGAATTGCAAAGTTGTAAAATCTTTTTGGACAGAAATCTTACATTGAATAATAAAAGGTTAAAAATAAACACCTTTGACCAAATAACTCCATTTTTGGACTATATCATGAAAGCATTAAAAATTCATTGGTTCAAAGATTTTTCATAGCGTAATTACATATATATGTAAGAAAAGAGCATTGAGATAAGCCTGCAGTATGGGAAAAATTAATTTGTCATACATTATTATTGCTACAAAATGTAACGTAATTTAAACCAACTTTAAAGAATATTAAATATTATAGAAGACCCTCATGAAATAATGCTAAGTGAAAAAAAGCAGAGTCATAAGCTGAGAACATACTAGTTATGATCATTCAAAAAGAAAAGTGAATATAAATGAATGGACAAAGAATCCTGATGAGGACTTTGAGGAAGTGAATAAAAATTTACAATGATATTTTATACATTGAAATTTATTATTTTAAATGTAAATTGCTGCTAACCTAGTTTAGTTGGTTCTATTGATATTTTTTTTTTAAAAATATGTACAACCAGTAATGATCAACTGTGAAACACTTGGCTACTCTGATCAATGATACAGAACAATTCCGAAGGACTCATGATGAAAAAGTGCTATATACCTCTAGAGAAAGAGAACTGATGAACTGAGTACAAATTGAAGTATGATTTTCTTTCTTTCTTTTTCTTGCATTTTTTAGAAATATGACTAATATGAGGTGTGTTTTGCATTATTTTACATGTATAGCTAATATAATATTGCTTGCCTTATCAGTGGCTGTGAGAGTGAGATAATTTGGAACTCAAAATTTAAAAAGAAAAGAATGTTGAAAAATAAAAAATAAATTAAAAAATTTAAATGTATGACTAAAACCAATTTTAATCATCTGCAAAGGGATCCTAATTATGGGAGAGAGGAACAATGATCTGGCAGGAAAGTAGGGTATGGGAAGCTTGCCCTGAAGTGAGAACAATTCCAGAACTGAGAGACAAGAGAGCAGGTTATTTGAGGTAGCTTCATCCACTGTCCCAAGGCAAAAACTTAGGCAGGTGCAAGAGGGAGAAGGTGAACTCAAGATCCAGAAGTCAATATGAACACTGCTTCAGTGCTGGGGAACAAGGTAAGGCAAGTATAATCTAAGCCAAAGCAATGGTTCTCAAATTTTGGTCTCAGGACTCCTTTATGTTCTTAAAAATCATTGAGGACCCCCCAAAAAGCTTTTGGTTCATGTCTATTAATATTTACTGTATTGGTAACTAAGATGAATAAACATTTAAAATTTATTTATTAAATATTAAATTTATTAAAACATTTATTAATTCAATTACATATAATAAACCCATTATAGGGCAGCTAGGTGGCAAAGTGGATAGAGTGCCAGGCCTGGAGTCAGGAGGACCTGAGTTCAAATCTGGCCTCAGACACTTACTAGCTGTGTGACCCTGGATAAGTCACTTAATTCTGTTTGCCTCAGTTTCCTCATCTGTCAATGAGCTGGAGAAGGAAATGGCAAACCACTTCAGTATCTTTGATAAGAAAACCTCAAGGGGGGGTGGAGCCAAGATGGCAGAGTGAAAGCAGTGACTTACTTGAGCTCTCCCCCAAACCCCTCCAAATACCTGTAAAAAAAATGGCTCCAAACAAATTCTAAAGCAGCAGAACCCACAAAAAGACAGAGTGAAACAAATTTCCAGCCCAAGACAACCTGGATGATTGATCTGAAAGGTATATCACATGGGGTGGGGAGAGGAGCACAGTGTGGCGTGGGTGTGCAGGCTGCAGTGACCCTGGAGCAGGCCTCAGAGGACTGAATCACAGGCAGCTATGGCGGTTTCCAGACTTCTCAACCTATGAAAGCCAAAGACAACTTAGAAGGTCAGTGGGAAAAGTCTGTGACTGCAGTGAGAGGTAGAAGCTAGATCTCAGCCACCCCCAGGACAGCGGCTGCCTCCTGAGCTTCTGACCCACAGACTGAGGGGGAATCGAGTGGCTGATCAGAGGGGGATTGCAAGGATCTCTTTGCCAGTGCTGAGGCAGGAATCTCTTGCTTTTGCCAATGCTTGGCTCTAGGTCACAGTTCTGAGGGGTGGTCTTGGGGTGAGGAGGAGGGCTGGCATGGTGGAGCTTGTTGTGGAAGTGGAGAGGAAACACCTCGTCCCTTATCATACCACCTTGGAAGAACTGAAAATTTACAGGTCCCTAGAAGCATCTCTGAAAACAGCTGTATAAACCCCCTAAGCATGGGACAGTACATTCTCCACATTGGAAGCAGACTTTTACCTTAATAAAGAGTTTAAAACTCAAGTAATTGGCCGGGATCATGAGTAAGCAGTGCAAAAAGAGTCAGACTATATTATCTTACTTTGGTGACAAAGAAGACCAAAACATACAACCAGAAGAAGACAACAAAGTCAAAGCTCCTATGAACCAGTCCCAGGCCTTGGAAGAGCTCAAAAGGGATTTTGAGAAGCAAGTAAGAAAAGTAGAGGAAAAACTGAGAGTGATGCAAGAAAATCATGAAAAACAAGTCAATAGCTTGCTAAAGGAGACCCAAAAAAAATACTGAAGAAAATAACACCTGAAAAAATAGCCTAACCCAAATGGCAAAAGAGGTCCAAAAAGCCAATGAGGAGAAGAATGCCCTAAAAAGCAAAATTGGCCAAATAGAAAAGGAAGTCCAAAAGCTTACTGTAGAAAATACTTCCTTAAAAATTAGAATAGAGCAATTGGAAGCTAGTGAGTTTATGAGAAATCAAGACACTGTAAAACAAATCCAAAAGAATGAAAAATTAGAAAACAATGTGAAATATCTCATTGGAAAAACAACTGACCTGGAAAATAGATCCAGTAGTGAGAATTTAAAAATTATTGGACTATCTGAAAGCCATGATCAAAAAAAGAGCCTAGACATCATCTTTCAAGAAATTATCAAAGAAAACTGCATTGATATTTTAGACCCAGAGGGCAAAATAGAAATTGAAAGAATTCACCAATCTCTTCCTGAAAGAGATCCCCAAAGAAAAACTCCTAGGAATATTGTAGTCAAATTCCAGAGTTCCCAGGTCAAGGAGAAAATATTACAAGCAGCCAGAAAGAAACAATTCAAGTATTGTGCAAACACAATCAGGATAACTCAAGATTTAGTAGCTTCTACATTAATGGACCACAGGGCATGGAATATAATATTCTGGAGGGCAAAGGAGATAGGATTACAACCAAGAATCACCTACCCAGCAAAACTGAGTATAATCCTTCAGGAGAAAAAATGGTCATTCAGTGAAATAGAGGACTTTCAAACATTCTTGATGAAAAGACCAGAGCTGAATACAAAATTTGACTTTCAAATACAAGACTCAAGTGAAGCATGAAGAGGTAAACAGGAAAGAGAAATCATGAGACTTATTAAGGTTGAACTGTTTACATTCCTGCATGGAAAGATGATATTTGTAACTCATGAAACCTTTGTCAGTATTAGGGTAGTCGGAGGGAAAAAATTATATGTATGGATATATACATATATATAGATATAGATATAGATATAGATATAGATATGACAGATAGAGGGCACAGGGTGAGTTGATCTGGAGAATAAAATTAAGAGGTGAGAGAGGATTATACTAGGAGAAGGAAAAAGGGAGAGGTAGAATGGGGTAAATTATCTTACCAAAAAAAACAAAAAGAAAAGCCTCTTACAGTGAAGGGGAAATGGGGGAAGGTGAGAGGGAATGAGTGAATCTTATTCTCATAGGATTTGACTTAAAGAGGGAACAACATACACACTCAATTGGGTATGGAAATCTGTCTCACCCTACAGGAAAATAGGAGGGGAAGGGGACAAGAGAGTAGGTGGATGATAGAGAGGAGAGAAGATCGGGAAAGTGGGTAATCAGAAACAAATACTTCTGAGGAGGGACAGGGTCAAAAGAAAGAATAAAATAAATGGGAGGGCAGAATAGGATTAAGGGAAATAGTGTTAGTTTTTCACAGCATGTCCACTACAGAAGCGTTTTACATAACTGCACATGTATAACCTATATTGAGTTACTTGCCTTTTCAATGAAGGTGGGTGGGGAGGGAAGAAGTGAGAAAATTTGGAACCCAAAGTTTTAAAAACACACATCTAAAAAAAAACATTTTCACATGCAACTGG